TCTCATACATATGCACGCAAGTCATACACCGAGCATACGGGACCTCCAATTTTAACACCGATTTCGAGCAGTAGTTTTTTAAGAGATTTTCTTGGCAATAGATACTCTTGGTTTGCCAGACCACCGAAGAGGAGCTACGAATACGTGAAAAATTCTTTGAATCTGCCTGTGATCGAACCCTGGGATCTCTGGCATAGCAGTCTCGTGTGCTATCTATTACATCACGCTCGTGCTCATTTTCGTATAATAATAATTTTATTTATCTTTTACATTTTATAGGAGGACTCGTGGAGATTCCATCGTACTTTATTACGTGGTACGCAATGGACAGATTAGGCAGGCGATGGGTATTGTGCGTGACTATGATGCTGGGTGGGCTCGCTTGCGTGTCCTGTATGTTCGTGCCCGAAGGTACTACTTCGTCTGATTTATGTCTGATTCTGAAATGTCTTTAAAAGAAATAATTTTATATGCATATCTGAACAATTTAAGAATTATTTTATATTTTATATATAAATTTAATTATTTATTTTGTCGTATTTTGTACATATTATATGTACGCGGATACGTGATGTCGGATATATTCCTAATGCCGACGAGAGAAAATGTACGATGATGACCATTTACCACGTTGCTCATCTTCACATTATTCGATTATCTTCGCGGGATAAAATTGAATAAAAGTATTAAACCGAATATATCGCACGCCTTTGCGTCATGGCGATCTCAACGTCATTACCTTATTGAATTCGTCATGATATTGTTACACACATCCAACGTGTGAGAGGCAATTACTGTTGCCGACGTCACAACGTTTATGAATAAACGTTCGACCTGCTTATGAATTAGTTATCGCACACATAGTTTCTCTCATCAAAAATCCACGATGTCCACTTAAATTTCAAATTTTTATTAAAAAGAAAGATAAGAAGAATATTTTGGAAGAGAAATAAAATACATAAAATAAAATCAAGACTTATGTCGGAATTCATAGTCCGTTCTTATTTCGAGATTATCTTAAATAATATCTTAAGATAAATACAGATATATGATTGGCTTATACTATCTTAAAATTCAACAGTGTTAAATGTAAGAACCGATTTTGAATATCGATCATAAAATTCCATCTACGAATATTTTTTTGTATACATGATCGGCCCTTGTCGCAGCAGATGCGGTCTGGGTGACAGTGAGTCTGGCGATGATCGGTAAATTCGGCATCGCTGCGTCCTTTGCTGTCTTCTACGTCTTCGTCGGCGAACTGCTGCCAACCGTACTAAGGTCTCAGGCGATGGGCATAGCTTCTTTCATCGCCGGCATCGGTCTTCTCACCTTCCCCTATATCGTTCATTTAGCAGTCTACTCTAGAGTCTTACCCCTAATCGTAATGGGATCATTGAGCGTCGCCGGCGCTATCACTTCCATATTTTTACCGGAGACGCTCAATATCCATCTGCCGCAGACGGTCGAGGAGGGTGAACTCTTCGGGGCTGATTTCAAACTGTGGTCCTGTCCGACGATACCAAAGTTAGTAATCTCACTGACGAAAGATTTAGCATATTGCAAGATGCAAAGTAGAATTTTATTTTTGAGAAAAATAACTTTTTTTGATAAACAATTTTTTGATAAATAATCGAATTTATGTTTTATAACAAGTTCCTCGATTTTATTTTTAAATCATTATTCTATTTTTTTTTAATTTTGAAATAATATTTAATGATTATTATCTTCATGTGTATGTTAACGAACTCGATATTAATATTTAATATTAATTTCAGGAAAGGTTCAAGCAAGTCCGAGTCCCTGCCGTTGGGGTACTTAGTGAACGGCGGACCGGGTAGTCGCTCGTCTACCTCGAAAGTCGCGTTGCAGGAAGGCGCGACTACGTCGCAGGGTGAGAAGCCAGCTGCCTTGCTGCCCTTGAAAGAAGAAGAGGCGAAGAACTTAAGCGCAAAAGCGGAGGAATTGTCGAATATCGAGGTCGTCGAGCTGAAGACGGCCAGCGTATTGGCGGATGTGTCCGCGTGCCGGAAGTCGCAATGAGACAGGACGAAATAATAGACAGTCTTATAATTAACTCTTTGCAACGTTGTATCATAATTATCAGTATAGACACGCATTGTATTTATTTTTCCATTTATTATAATGTACTTCCTTTGTAAAACCTGCCTGAGTTTGTCGACTAGCACGATTCGATCCCCATTTTTTTTTCTGTGCTGCTGAAGAGTACTTTCAACTTGTCGCGATGTGTGCGTGTACATTGCGTGTGATTGATACGCGTGTGAATCGAGGATTAATGTCCGGGATCTACTCTAGAATGTAATGCTATACTTTTTTATTGTTCAGTTAGACGTCGATTTTACATTTTGCCCTTGCGTTATAAAGAAAATCTTGTTGTGATTTCAGTTAGCTTAAATAAAATATCTATTGAGACGAATTGTGATGATCGTCTGAGAAACTTTGCGTGTCAATATTTCATGCTTGATTATTGAAAGCGAGAGGAAGAATATTGACTTTACCAATTATAATATTGTTTAAAAAATCAATACCATAACGAAATAACAAGTAGAAAGTATAGGGGCGCTATACAGATTCCTGAGTGCTCTCCAGGTATCATGTTATCCTTATTTAACGATAAAATAAAACAAGGATAAAATCATACCTGAGTAGCGGAGTTTTACCGTAGCATTTAGGTGAGAATATGAACATAGCTCATGTGGTTGGACAGTCACCAAGGAGAACTCAACAGTCATCTGTTTCTGTTTAAATGACATCTTAGGCAAGTCCGCGATCTCCCTTTTCATCTATCAATTTTAAGTACTAATTTCTAACACAATTAGGAAAATCATTATTGAATTCAAATTTCATAATAATTATTTTGTCTTAAAATTCTACAATACATAATACAAAATGCGTGAAATTGTTCACATTCAAGCCGGTCAATGCGGCAATCAAATTGGCGCTAAGGTTAGTTTTTATCTTTCGATAAAAAATATAAATTATGTATTATTAAATATATATTCAAAATTTTAAATATTTGAGAAAATTATATAATTTATATTTTAATTAAAAGAATAATTTTTAAAATAATTGATTAGAAATAGCACTTTTAGTTTATAAATATTCAACACTTTTATCATTATTTTCTTCGATTAATAATCCATGTTTATCTTTTCTATTGTATACATCATTTCTCAGAAATTAATTCTTAACCATTCATAGTTTTGGGAGGTGATTTCTGATGAACATGGCATCGATCCTACGGGCACCTATCACGGAGATTCGGATCTTCAGTTGGAACGGATCAACGTTTATTACAATGAAGCCTCCGGTCCAAAATATGTACCGCGTGCGATTTTGATAGATCTCGAACCCGGCACGATGGACTCTGTGCGTTCGGGGCCCTTCGGACAGATATTCCGACCAGACAACTTTGTATTTGGTCAGTCGGGAGCCGGCAACAACTGGGCCAAGGGTCATTACACCGAGGGTGCTGAATTGGTGGATTCGGTGCTCGATGTAGTGAGGAAGGAAGCCGAAAACTGTGACTGCTTGCAGGGATTTCAACTCACGCACTCCTTGGGCGGTGGTACCGGATCTGGAATGGGCACTCTGCTCATCTCGAAAATACGAGAAGAGTATCCAGATAGAATTATGAGCACCTTTTCTGTGGTACCATCTCCCAAAGTTTCCGATACTGTAGTGGAACCTTATAATGCTACATTGTCAGTTCATCAGCTGGTAGAGAATTGTGATCAAGCTTACTGTATCGACAACGAAGCACTCTATGACATCTGCTTTCGTACTTTGAAGCTGACTACTCCGACATATGGTGATTTGAATCATCTCGTATCAGCTACTATGTCCGGAGTGACAACCTGTCTAAGGTCTACAACACGAAAATAATTATTAAATTTGAACAAATTATTAATATAATAATAAAAATACTAATGAAGAAATATGATATCAATATATCAATATATAATTTTAATACATAATTATCAATAATACATAATTTTAATATGTAATTATTAATATATAATTGATTTTAAACGATTATTATAGATTTCCAGGTCAATTGAATGCCGATTTGAGAAAACTCGCGGTAAACATGGTGCCGTTTCCCCGTCTTCATTTCTTCATGCCAGGTTTCGCGCCCCTCACATCCCGAGGAAGCCAACAGTACCGAGCTCTCACGGTACCGGAGCTCACACAACAAATGTTCGACGCAAAGAACATGATGGCGGCTTGTGACCCACGTCATGGTCGTTATCTCACCGTAGCGGCCATTTTCCGCGGCAGGATGTCGATGAAGGAGGTAGACGAGCAGATGCTTAACATCCAAAATAAGAATAGCTTGTACTTCGTCGAGTGGATACCGAACAACGTGAAAACGGCGGTATGCGATATTCCGCCACGCGGCCTCAAGATGTCTGCTACTTTTATCGGCAATTCCACGGCTATTCAAGAACTGTTCAAAAGGATCTCCGAGCAGTTCACGGCAATGTTCAGGAGGAAGGCTTTCCTCCATTGGTACACTGGCGAAGGTATGGACGAACTGGAATTCAATGAAGCGGAGTCAAACATGAACGACCTAGTATCGGAGTATCAGCAATATCAAGACGCATTAGTAGAAGACTACGAAATGGATGAAGAAGAAATGGAAAAATAGAAGAATCGCAGAGGATCGCGTACTTGCAAAATTTTTTGAGAATTTTTAAATTTAATTCCTTTGTACTTGTAATTTTAATTTTTTTAGCGAATGTTTTACAATGTTTTATGTGTTGTTCGTATATATGAATTTTTAGAAGATGTTTTAATTATCTGTGTACTTACTTTAGTGAAGTTTATAAAAGACAATATTAGCAAAACTCTGAACTGTTCTTCAATTTAATATTCGCAGTGAATTCTCCTAAACACGCTATATTTTAATGTTTAGGAAACTTAGAAGAATTACGCTCTTTGTTATATAGATAAAATCCAATTATCTTTATCCAATAGTTTTTATCCAATTAATAACATCGTTTATAATTTCATATAAATACGTCTCTTAAATAAGATAAGTAAACGTTGGCGTTTAGATACGATTCTCGTTATCGAACTCGTTATCGTTCTTCTCTGACGGCCAACTGACATTGATGAAGCCAAGGCCTTGACAAAAATTGGCGATCGCGCATTATCTCATCGGTGCCCCGAGGGCAAACACTTTATTATTGCGTACAATAAAGGAGAACGCGTGTTATTGCGCGACAGTTTCTCACTGCTTCTACTATTTTCAAAGATAAAATGTCGATTAAGATATTTATTACATCATGTAATACATCAAAAATATAAGATTACATTTTATCCTGTATTTTTTAAATAATACAAAAACCATAAATGATGATAAGGAAATATACAGTATAATATTTTTTAAATTTTGATAAGATATAACTTTTTTCAGAATATAGACGACGAAATGTTGAGTATGCAGAATAATAGAAAATATTTGATTAGTTAGATTTCGAATAAATTATTATATATACAAAATAACACCACATAACTTATCATATACTTTGTTATCAAATCACAAGACTTATTTAATGGCTCAAAAAATTACAAATAAAATTTTCTTAAAACGAGTTGTTTTCACTGAAATATGAGTGAACATATGAAGATTTTATTGATCAATGTGTTGATCAATGTGTTGAGAAATCATTTAAGTTGCCTCATTGATGAATACTAACGTTCTCGAAAACGTGTTGTGATCTAATAAAGAAATGTGCTATTAGGATTGAATAAAATTGCTGTATATAAAATTGTAAAAAATCTAAAAATATAAGAAATTTAAGGATTTAAGGGGCAAATGTTTAGTGCTACAATATTGAGAGGAATTATGAAAAAAAGAATTCAAAAAGTTTTTTCCATTGCATTTTGACATTTCATTTTAATAGTAATTGTAAATATGATTGAAAATTTGATCTTTCAATGATTTTTATTACGTTCCAGTTCACGCCACATTTGTCCAAACGACATGAAAATTCTTATGATTGTCACTATAATAAAACTGAATATTACATAGGCGTATCATAGACATAACGCAAGATCAATATAGAAGAAGCTATTTTCTACATTCTAAATAATTATTTTTCATATTAATTTAATATTCGCTGCAGTTTGATTTGCTTTTGAATATTGAGCTTTTTATAAATATTTCGATATCACACAATTCATAAAAAAATCGCTCGCCTACATTATTCTGAGCGATTATAAAGCGCATATTGCATATAAAAATATCAAAAATTGGCTTCTCGTGAGCTTTATACGATCAGTTATGCGACTCCTACGATGATAAGACAGAGAAGCTGAAAAGAAATCTAATAAAAGGGAACATTGCGCTGCAACTTTCAGTTTTCCTGCTCGCAGGTTTCGAAGTCATCAGCGCACTCCTCCGTCTCGAAATCTTCCTCTGCCGTAGCTTCCTGGTACTGTTGGTACTCAGATACCAAATCATTCATATTAGATTCGGCCTCGGTGAATTCCATCTCGTCCATACCTTCGCCGGTGTACCAATGAAGGAAGGCCTTTCTTCTGAACATCGCTGTAAACTGTTCGGAAATTCTTTTGAATAATTCCTGTATAGCGGTAGTGTTGCCAATAAAGGTGGATGACATTTTCAGGCCCTTCGGGGGGATGTCGCACACGGCAGTCTTCACGTTGTTCGGTATCCACTCGACGAAGTACGAGCTATTTTTATTCTGCACGCTGAGCATCTGTTCGTCGACCTCCTTCATCGACATTCTACCGCGAAATACAGCCGCCACGGTAAGATATCGACCGTGGCGTGGATCGCAGGCCGCCATCATGTTCTTTGCATCGAACATTTGCTGTGTGAGTTCTGGTACGGAGAGCGCGGAATATTGCTGCATGGACCTGGATGTTAGAGGCGCGAAGCCCGGCATAAAGAAGTGCAAACGTGGGAAGGGAACCATGTTCACCGCGAGCTTCCGGAGATCAGCATTCAGTTGGCCAGGAAACCTGAAAAAATCAATATATATAATAAATTATGCAACATAAAAATTTTATTATTAGCCAATTTATGTTATTTTTTCACAGAAAATTATTAACTTAATTAATATAATATATAAATAAAAGAGCAAAAAAGTCACACGCTATTAATTAATATATTATTTAAAATGAGAAAGGAGCATGTACATTGCTATATTCCTTTATCTACTTTATGTATAATTAGAAGATAATTTTTAAAAATTCTGTTTTTTTATATAGTTCGTATAATAGAGATTCTCTTTTCTCTTTACTACTATTTATTAATTCCTATGATAAAAACTGACGTTCAAGATATTGAAGTTAATACGTCAAGTTCTTATATACTAAATTCTTGGAGTGATAGTTCATTTTTTTGAAATGAAATTTACTTTAAAAAGTGTAGAAAATATACTATCGAAACTACGGTGCTGCAGAGAATAAGAACTCAGTTATAAGTTCATACATTTGAAACATCAGCACGAACTAGTTTGTATAAATTGAATGCAGATAAACGAAGTTCTTATATTGCCATGGATTTGTATACACACCTAAGACAAGTGGTTACTCCAGACATAGTGAGCGAAACTAAGTGATTGAGATCGCCGTAACTCGGATTGGAAACCTTCAAAGTGCGGAAGCAAATGTCGTACAGGGCTTCATTATCGATACAATAAGTTTCGTCGGTGTTCTCCACCAACTGATGCACCGACAAGG